CGCTGTTGTCTCCATTTCCTTACCCCGACCGAGATGTTCACTGGCAGCTTGGCGAGCTGAAACCCCAACACATTACAGGCCTCCTTCGTTTTCTCTCTCTCCTTCCTTGCTCCCATTATCTGTCTGTCTTTCTCTCTTTTTCTCAGCCTCTGCAGTGCTGACAAAGCACATTTTGTGTGTGTGTGTGTGTGTGTGTGTGTGTGTGTGTTGTGTGTGTGTGTGTGTGTGTGGTGTGTGTGTGTGTGTGTGTGTGTTTGTGTGTCTGTTTGTGTTGTGTGTGTGTGTGTGTGTGTGTGTGTGTGTGTGTGTGTGTGTGTGTGTGTGGTGTGTGTGTGTGTGTGTGTGTGTGTGTGTGTGTGTGTGTGTGTGTGTGTGTGTGTGTGTGTGTGTGTGCGCAGTTAGCAGAGCTTAAACTAACACAGCTGCAGGCTCGGACTCACCTCAGTCTCTCAGACCCAGACACACTGAGTCGTTGTTAAGAACATTATGGGTCATATGATTTTTAAAACTCACTTTGAGACCCGGAACACCAGTTGTTGTTGTTGTTGTTGTTAAAGGAGACACCAACACCGTCACTTTGTTTATTTCTTGAATGTGTTTATTTGTTTATGCAGGTTCACTGATGTTAATCTGACAGTTTAAGAATGTTTCCTTTCTCTCCCTTTTCTTGGTCGCAGGTCTCGGCAAGGTGGTTCACCTGGCGCATACGATCGCAGCTTCAGGTGGAAATACCACCAGTTCCGTTTCCTATGCCATGTAAGTGTAACTGGAATCTGGAGCTCCAACAAAACTTTCTTTCTCAACAAAAGTCATTGTGATCCCAATATTGATTGTGAGTGTATTGAATATTGAACAAAACCAATGGAACCCGCTTAGTCCGTTGTAAGATTTAAGTCTGATTTCTGTTATTCAGCCTCACTCCGAACAGGGATTCACTACCTCAGAGAAGTGAATAGAAGCATATTTGTGCTGGTTGACACAGATATTCTGATTATGAGACTTTTAATTCCCTCTTAAAATAAATTAGAAAAAAGTGAGATTGTGTGTCATAAATATGTCTGTAGTAAGAGAACAGCTGGAACACAGGATCTTTGTCATGAATTTGGGTTTAAATTAGAGGTGATATCGGGGTCCAGTAGTGTAGTGGTTGTTGCACGAGGCTGTAGTCCTCAGAGTGGACGGCCCTGGTTCGAATCCGACCTGTGGCTCCTTGATTCATGTCATTCCCAACTCTCTCTCTCTCCTACATTTCTGATTCTATCCACTGTCCTATCTCTAAAATAAAGACATGAAAAGCTCAGAAGTAAACCTTTAAAAATAAAAATAAAATTGTGTTGATATAAAGATTTGTGATAACAAGCAGACTGTCCATGTGCTGCTCTACGAGGCTTTACAGAAGGGCCTACTGATTCAAACCTGTGTTTTCCTGCGTTTAAATTTTTTTAACTCAATTCTTTATATTAAATTCAGAATATTGATTTGTTTTCTTTCTTCCCTGTCTAGTCCAATGCCTTGCCCAGCCACGTCAAGATCTCTGTGTCCAGGCAGACGCTGTTTGAAGACTCGTTCCAGCAGGTCAGAGATGCGGCAAACACAAATCTGTTCCACACCCTGAATGTCAACAAATAAAAAATAAAACACACATCAGTTAAACAACATTAAAATAACCAGATAAACAACACATATTACCACACATACAAAAAAATACCAGCAGCCACAGAATCTTTGAACTTGATTTAAAACAACACAGGAAGTAATGAATGTCAAATCTAATCATACATTAGTAACAACCTTTCCATTTAAAACAAATCTCAAAGTGCTATTCCACAATGTTGTGAACAATTGATTTTGTTTTGCCATCAGATCATGAATGTGAAGCCCTACGACCTTCGGCGCAGACTCTACATCATCATGAGAGGAGAGGAAGGGCTGGACTACGGCGGGATCGCCAGGTGAGGCCAACCAACCAAACTTTACCTTTTCTCCTCACACTTTTTTGTGTTTTACATTATTTTGAGTCTATCTTTTAACCCACTGATTTTTTTTTTTCAAGTTGGTGAAGGGGTGTTGTGTTTCCCCTCTTGATAAGCTTGTTCCTGAAAGTGTCTGACTGTGATCTGTTGTGTGTGTGTGTGTGTGTGTGTGTGTGTGTGTGTGTGTGTGAGGATTAAATCTCACTGGTTGGCAGCAGACATCCTACTGTTAATCCCTCAATGTTCCTATATGTATCGCTCTCTGAAATCACCTCCTCCCCTCTTCCTGTCCTCACCCCCTGACTTCACCCATCCATCACATCCACCCCCTGTCTCCGCTGTCCTCTGGATCCTCCTCTCTAAATTTGTGGTTATTTTTTCTGTTGGTGGTGTTCTCATTTATTTTATTTTTTTTCTGTTTGGTTTTGCATTGTGTCTCTGTCTCCGGTGTCACGTCAGTGGTTTTACCCTATGGTAGGTGACATCATGCTGTTCTACCACAGGGTAGAACCACGGACGGATGTTGGGAGGTGTCTGCGTCTGCCGTACCGTCCGTCAATCAGTCCATACATCCCCTCCCATAACCCCAAGGGGAGTTGCAAGTGGCAAGTGGTGGGAGTGCTTGGTTTTGTGCTGCAGCTGGTGGTGTGGTGCTGCTGGTGGCCCTCATCTCTCTAACATGCATCCATCCAAAGTCTGTCTGTTTTCCTTTGTTTTTTCTTCCTCTTGTATTTATCCTTTCATGTTATTCATTATGTCTTATGTAGTACCGTATGTGTCAGAGTTGTGTTTGTGTGCACATTTGTTCATTTTCTGTATATTCCTGTTGATAGAACTTTCTCGAAATGGATTTGAATTTGGCAAGGTTGATCCAAACGAGACAATCATAGAAAGCCTGCTACAGCTCAGAGAGAGAAGCTGTTCCTCAGTCTGTTAGTCTGGTTTTCCAGATGGTAGGGGACAAACAGACTGTGTCCTGAGTGTGTTGTGTCTTTGCTGATGATGGTACAGTAGCTCTCTTTGTAGGCAACCAGCATACACAGCATCCCGTCGTCGGTAGCACAGCTCCTTTAACCCTCTGTGCTGTTTTTACAATCCGGACCCAGGGTTAGTAGTAAGAAACAAGTTAGTTATTTGCTTGGTATCCATTTTTACAAACAGTAATATGTTATAAGATTGTAACCACTCTGTGCTGTCCATCCTTGATTAGTTCAAAATGTTACTTATTTTAAGAATGTTTTATTTGTCTCAAACGAATCTGAACATGATCAGAAAGAGCAATATGCATCTGGCTTTAAGGAACTTAGTGTTCTAGCAGCAGCTGTGGAACAAAATCACAAAACTCTCCCTGTCTCAAATTCTATTTTTGTTCTGTCTGTATTTGTTGCTTTAATGTGTTTTTCTTTCTTTATTGTGATTTCGTCCACTCTTCTTTTTCAGCTTTATTTACCACACAATGTGTTTGATTTCCTTTGATTGTCCCTCAGATCACTTTGTCTCTGCTCACACTGTTTCCACTTCCTGTTGTGAGAAAGACTATTTTCAGATGGTCCCTATTGTAAAGGAATGATCAAGTGCTTACATTGAATCCTCGTATGATATCATACATCCCTTATGTCATCTCTCAGGCTCTTAGTATGACGTCTTCCTCTCCTGTATTAATCACTTCTGTTGTCTCCGTGCAGGGAGTGGTTCTTCCTGCTGTCCCACGAGGTGCTGAACCCCCATGTACTGCCTGTTCGAATACGCCGGCAAGAACAACTACTGTCTGCAAATCAACCCCGCCTCCTCCATCAACCCCGACCACCTCACATACTTCCGCTTCATCGGACGCTTCATTGCCATGGTAAGAGTCGATTTAGAACTGACGTATTTAAATCCCATCTTCTTTGTCTTGCATTTGATGAGTAGTTATTTTCAGTATTTTTGTATCATTTTAAATATTCATGTGCCCTTATGAAAATAATGTCTTAACCACATCATGAGGAGATGTTAGCTTGCAACCATTGACCTTCTCTGTAGAGGGGAAGATGTGCTGTAGCCTGCTGTTGAATATTTACATTAAAATTATGAAATAAAACCTTAAACTGGGGAAGAGAACGTCACAGTAAGATGTTAGTAGGAGTGCATTGCTAAACCTGAACTAGTATCAACCATAAGAGCAGTAAGGTGAGGGTTGCCTGTTGAGTCGATCTTTAAAAACGTGCACAGACATCCTCATGACCTAAAGTGACCACACTGTGAGACAGACACATCCACTGTGAGGTTCCAATAAAGAAATGATTTATTTAGTTTATTGACTTTAGAATTAGTAGAGAGACAGAAACATTGTGTCCACATGTGTGTGTTGACATATTTATGAGGTGGGATTTAAATGTGTGTTTTGTGAAGCCAAGCTGTAATTTACTTCATGAACGTTGGCATGTTTCGAGGTTATTTGTTGAGCATTTGACTTAAAGGTGGCAGTGAAGAAGCTGTGATGGATGTTATCATCATCATTGATAGTTAAAGTTTTTTAACAGTTGATGTACAGTCTGTACTATAATGTCTCTGTGTGGGACACACTCTAGGAAGCTGTGGGCCCCAAAAACCGACGCCCTCCACCCCTCCTTCAGTCTGCCGCCCCACCCCTCACCCACACCATGACCTAACTGCCGCACCCAGCACACACCCGCCAGCAGCCAACTATATTTAGTCCTAAAATGCGCTTTGCTGACTCGCCTTATAAAGACGCTAGTCTCAAACCTTATCGCCATATTTTTCTTCCTCTCTCTTTACCATTCTTTATTCTCCGTCTATACCCCTCACTTTCCACTGACACCCTCGCTCGGGTCTGTAAATCTTCCTGTCTGCGTGTGTGTGCGTGTGTGTGTGCGTGTGTGTGTGCGTGTGTGTGTGCGTGTGTGTGTGCGTGTGTGCGTGTGTGCGTGCGTGCGTGCGTGCGTGCGTGCGTGTGCGTGCGTGTCTTTCCTGGCAGTGTGACAGACACATGGTCGCTCAGGATACAGTAGTACAGAACAGCCTGTGACTGAGTCAGTCAGTGAGTGTCTGTGTTGTTCTTGGCTCATCACTGCTCTGAGCCCTCTGTGGGTTTTTGAACATTAAACAGCTCCATCTGTCTGAGACAGCTCACTCTACCTCTGTGTGAACACACACGCACACCATGCACACATTACGACCTGGTTTGAAGCCGTCTGAATGTCTTTGTGTTAAGTGCACACATGGGCTTCAGTTAGCATTGTGTTTTCTCTTAAAGTCATCAAATATAAGTGACTCCTCATATTTCTGACTACAAGACTTAAGTTGAAAAGATTCAGCACAACTCACCAGAGTGTCATTTTGAACACTTTTTAGTGGCAGATTGCAACCAGACACAGACATTTGACATTTCTTACTTTGTTCTCACAGTTTTTTAAAAATAGAATAAAAAAATAACATACTGTAACATTTAGTTGCTTGTATTTGTATCAATCAAGCATTATTTGTAAAGTACCAATTCATAACTAAGTGTTATCTCGAGACACTTTTCAAAAGAGCAGGTAAAAGACCTTACTCTCTGTTAAGAAAAATGGGAACGGGGAGATGGGATAATATGCAGGACGGATTTCTCCTTTGTATTCTTCGCATTCCTGTATCCACCCTTCCTTGCCGCTGAGGTGGAGGTCGGAGTCGGCCGTGCATGAATGAGGACGGCGGTGGTTGTGGGGACGACACAGTCCGATGTTGGCGGTCCGATTTGTTTGAATTCATCCATTCGATTGTTGAGCGCGCTTTAGAATGAGCAAGTTTAGCATAATGGACGCTCCCATCTTGGACTTTATTGAGTAAGAATTGGCCATTTTTTAATTTGAGTTCTGATCTGGAGAGGAGCGAGGGGTTAACGTATCTGAAGTTATCAGCTTCCACTTCCACTGGCAATGCGTCCGTTTTTCATGGTAACTGTTTTTACAAATTCGAATGCTAATTTGGACCGGAAAAAAGTAGGCTCTAAACATCTGTACCTGCTGACAAGTTGAACTGCAAACTTCTCAGTACTTTGAATAAAAAAATCACTTAAAATGAGATCTGTTAGGTCACTGTGGTGGCCACTCTTCAACCACAGGTAGCCAAAGCGTGCTCTGCTTTACTGTCAGTTTACATCTAAATTGGGCCTTGAAGAAAGAAATGAGTGAGAACATTAGCTTAGTAGGGAAACCCTTCACATCTTTAAATCAAATAAGGAGACAGGTTGTCCTTGTCTTCGCCACAGTCTCCCCCTGCTGTCCATAAGAAGTAATGCAGATTTAAGGAACTTTCACTCTGAAACCAAGCTGCTTCTTTAGTACCGGCTATTGTGGGCCCTCTGTTTTACTAAATGTGAAAATAATGTCCCAATCTGCCCTATTTTACTGACTTTAACTCACTCAGGCCACGTTTGATATTTACATTTTTGAACGTTGTGAGTGCTGCATCCTGGTCCTGCATCTTGATACAAAGTGAGTAGCAGAGTTCAGAGGTCACCTTTGCAGCTGTAAGTGTGAAATGTGCACAGGTCCAGCGTGTGAGACGTTTATGACATTATAGTTTAGTCCTTATAACTTCCTGTGTGTAAAAGCAGGTGTGGAGCTGCCGGGAATAAAAGGCCCATTCATGCTTCCTGTAAAGGGGACTGGCTGCTAAAGCATTTCCAACACTTGAATGTCCATGTAACAATCCCCAGTGAATCATCAACACTGAGCTACTGAGAAGAATGTATGTGCAGTTTGTCTAAAGCTAATTTAAACCATATGTCACTAAAGACCATACATAATAACACTATAATACAGCAGACTTACAGGTCGGGGGGGGGGGGGGGGGGTTACATCGCTCTAAAAGTTAAATTGCTGTAGTTGGTTAAATCCAGGGACTCAAACCTGCCGTATCATCAGGTTTAGGGATCTGACGCTGTGTTTTTATGTGTATGTTTCTGGATTTTAGCAGTGAAAACCAGGAAAGCAGGGTTCTTATTGTGGTTTCTAATGTAACCAATCCTCCCTGCAGGCGCTGTACCACGGGAAGTTCATCGACACGGGCTTCACACTACCGTTCTATAAGCGAATGCTGGACAAGAAACCCACCCTGAAAGACCTGGAGTCCATAGACCCTGAGTTTTTTAACTCCATCATGTGGGTCAAGTAAGTATCACAGGCGGGTTTACCTCTTCATCGTTGTGTCTTTGTTAAGAAAACCATTCAGAAGGACATTTCCCAGACTCTCGTTCTGATTCATGTTTCATTTTTTAACTCTGCCATCCTCTTTTTAAAACCACGATATGTATTATTATGAAATCACTCAGTTACAAGTTTAAAACGGAAGGAATGATGATCAACCTCTTGAGATGAAAACACAAAATCCACATGTGTCTTTCCATCTTATCTCACAGCCTTAAGGTAAACACATCAGATAAATGGAACAGCAGTACAGCGATTATTTGAAATTTTGTGATTAAATGAACAGCAAACTGATTCAGAAAGCTAAATGAAATACTCCATGATACACGTTCTGGTTCTGAGTTCACTCGTTCTTTATTTATTGCAACTAGATGATTATTTGAAACACGGTTCTGTTTTCAGGTCTGTTCATTAAATTGCTCATATAATTATAATTGATTTTCTTTGTGTGCAGAGAGAACAACCTGGAGGAGTGTGGCGTGGAGCTGTATTTTGCACAGGACATGGAGATCCTCGGGAAGGTTTCCACCCACCAGCTGAAAGACGACGGCGAGAATGAGCTAGTCACAGAGGAGAACAAGGAAGAGTACATCGGGTATGTTCAAACAGAGATGAAGAGTGCACAAATAATAACTTAAAGAGAAGTGATGTCAGTGATGGAGACCATAAAAACCAACCTCTCTTCCTCCCCCCGCAGCCTGCTGACAGACTGGAGGTTCACTCGCGGAGTAGAGGAGCAGACCAAAGCCTTCCTGGATGGCTTCAACGAGGTGGTTCCTCTGGAGTGGCTCCGCTACTTTGATGAAAAGGAGCTGGAGGTGAGGAGGGCCAACAGGAAAACACATGAAACATGGAATATGGTTATATCCAACTTGTTCAATTTCTTCCTTGCCCCAAATTTCCCCTCATATTGAAAATGCATGAGGTACAGCTAACAGACGGACACTTCTTCCGTAGAAGATTTATGTAGGGGAATCATTTCAACCTGTAAAACAAAAAGACAAAGAGTCAGAGCTCATAAGGTTCATCAGTTACAGTGACTTTAGAAAGATGGACTTTCTTTAGCAGTGAAGCTCTTAAAACAAGCAGAGGTTTGTTAGAAATAATCTACTTCTTGGCAGGATGAGTAGAAAAGAACCTGCAGTCAGTTCCAGCTGTGGTTCAGTTTGTCATTTGCGCCCAATCCAGATGAAAAACATCATAACCCTTTAAGTTTCCATTAATGATGATGATATTAGAAAAGATGAACAGGACCACCCTTATGAACACAGCAGGTTTTCTGCACTCGTTACTTTCAAAGTCTGTTTCCGTTAACCATCATGAATCCCTGCTGAAGCCAATGCTTTGATCTGTTCAGTGTTTCGCCGGCTCCTTCAGAGGCAGTGACTCACATGATGTATGAGTAGGCATAATGGCTCCATATAACATAAAAAACATGAGGATGGTGTTGAATTAGCATGTTGTGTGTTCCAGCTCATGCTGTGCGGAATGCAGGAGATCGATATGGCTGATTGGCAGAAGAACACCATCTATAGACATTACACCAAGAACAGCAAGCAGATCCACTGGTTCTGGCAGGTACGGACACACACTCTGAACACACACACACACACACAGTGTGAGCGAGCACTGATGTGACAGTATTCAGAGAATGACGGAGTTTCATTCCTGCAGGTGGTGAAGGAGATGGACAACGAGAAGAGAATCCGTCTGCTTCAGTTCGTGACAGGAACGTGCCGGCTGCCTGTCGGAGGCTACGCTGAACTCATAGGTACACAACATCGGTTCACACAACTACACATCCCTCACTGTGTTGTGATATTTTCCTCTGAAAGGGTTTTTAGAAATAAGGGTTTCTCACATAACCTTTTTTTTATATGATTAAATTTGTTTTGAGGAAAAGTTTTTTCCTTCATTTAAAAAGTAGTATGCTACAAGTCACTTCCCTCCCCTCATAAGACTTTCCTTTACATGATGACTGAAGTATTTCTCTTTATAGTTGGTGTATAAATCTTTATATATATATATCGATATATGTTTTCCTTAGACAGCTATGATTAAAAAAAAAAAAACATTCACATGGTATTAAATGACATTTTTTATTTTCTTCATTTGACCCCTGCAGGAAGTAACGGTCCCCAGAAGTTCTGCATAGACAAGGTGGGGAAGGAGACTTGGCTTCCAAGAAGCCACACATGGTAAGCTGCTGCCTCGTCCGTTAACAAGGAAAACTTTGCGCTGCTCAAAGGTCCACTTGTTACTTCTTCTGACTGATCTTCTTTCAATTAAAAAAACTTCTGAGTGTGATTTTAGTCTTGGTTTTGTTTTTGTTTTGTCACCATACTCAGGGATCCTACGATCTTCAGAAGGAGTTTTCACTTTGATTGTAGTTCTGGCCCGCATAAATATGGAGGGAGAAGGAGAGTGTAGAAAACATTTGTGTTCCTGGACTACTACTTTGTTTGGAGGTGGATAGTCATAGTGATATGAACTGAAGTGCAGCAATGTGTATAAAGCACACAGTTATAGATTATATCGTGGATGATGTAATTAAAGGGGTTAAAAGATTTATTTTAAAACAAATTCCATCATAAACAGGCAGCTTCTTGTTTGCTGATGACAGGGAATGTCTAAACATCTGCAGAGGTTTTAGTCTGGAAATGTTAGAATTTTGTTAAATGGTAATATGTAGGAACTCTGCAAACTGTTTCACATGATCCAATATTAATACCAGTCCTCCTATGTTGAAAAATGTTGTTTATCCTTTTGTGCAAAAGTTAATCAAATCAATTGATTCTTAAGTGTACTGTGTGTTAGATGTGAGACAGCTGCCACACTGTGAATGCACAGAGGATGGACTAATAGTTTCCTGTTTGTCTCTCCCCCTCACAGCTTCAATCGTCTGGATCTGCCGCCCTACAGAAGCCTGGAACAGCTCCGAGAGAAACTCCTGTTCGCCATCGAGGAGACGGAGGGATTCGGACAGGAGTGACGCGAGAAAAGAAACGGAGAAAATTCAATTCAATGGGATAGTTTTTCTTATTAATATAATTATTTTGCATTTGTTAATCACAGGGCTGATCACCTGTTGCCCTTCACCTGAGAAAGTCTGTGAACTGAATCATACGAGAAAAGTTGGAGGACGAGTGTGCTCGCATGTGTGTACACGTGTGTGTGTGCGTGTGTGTGCTTGCATACATTACCGCTACTGTGTACATGCATATAAATGGTGTGTATGTGTGTGAGTTGGAAGGATGGCACATGAAGATAGTTTTATATGATGAGAAGCTCAAACGCTCCCCCCACACCTACACCTCTACTCACTGCTTAGAAACGCACCGAAATCAGACGACAGGATAGTTTAAATGTCACAACAGCACAGCTTCCCCTCCAATGCAGTATAACATATCTACCAGAGAGACGTACATTTCTAACATTTAAAGTGACAGAGAGAGAGAAAGAGAGAGGCAGTGTATGAGAAGACCTTGTTTGTGTGTTTGTGTGTGATGTGTGTGTGCGTGCGTGCGTGCGTGCGCAAGAGGCAGGGAGCTGTTATCATGAACCAGCGCACCTCTGTGACAGAGGCCAGAGAGATGAGATGTGATTTTATTTTTCATTTTTTCATGTTACTTGTGAAATTCAGCATTTTTCTCCTGTACATAGCTCAAATAAATGAGATTTCAATCCTGGAGTTGTGTTCATTGTTTTTTCTTGAGAAAGACGGTCTTACATGACGTACAGTGAATAATCATTCAGCTGCATTTGAAACACGACATGGATGAGGAACTTCATGTTACTGTTGAGAATAACATTTAATCACGGCTCAATGTAACGGTAAGCAGTGACAGTGTTGCCTTAGAAAATGTTTTGAAAAACTTGTTTTAGCAATTGTTGTAATCACTATAACTGACACACACATCCCACAGCAGCTGTTCATACATAATTATTACTATAAAAAGAATCCTTTATGATGATTGTCTTTGTTCCAGTAGCATCAGAGGCATCTGTATTTGTTTCAGTCTGTTTCATAGCCAGCTAAAACAGTTTTCTAACATTGGATTATTAAAGGTTAATTACACTTATTTCTCATCTTTGCTTTTACATAAATATGTCAAACTGACTTCATGATGGATTTCTCCTGTAGGCCGTTTCTGCTGGCAGTGAGAAAACAACACACTGCCTGCAGCTTGAAAATGCATGGTTTCAAAAATGCTTCATTCATTTATTTATTTACTCTGACAGACTCGGGTTGCTGTTTTTTTTTTTTGTCTGACATCATGACAGAGGATCAGTTGGCTGCGTACAGTCCACAGACATACTGGTGGACATCGCTGTAGAAAGAGTCGCTCATAAACTAACCTGATGTTTTTGCTACAGAACTTCATCTTGTTAACGTATCAGTATGAGACAACAGTTTGAAGAAATGATCAGAACTTTAGTTTTTAAATTAGATATCTTTTGGGAAGAAATCAGATGTGTTAGCTATAATCCGGCTGTGTCACTTTGGTCTGTCAATTGACACTTGACAAATAAATTAACTTTTTTCACTCCCTAAAAATATTAAAACACTTAAAAAAAGATCAAATTCTTCAGGACATCCAGGCATATCAGCTTTGTTTAGAGAAAAGTAAAAGATGGCTGCTTTGAGTTTTTTTTCCACAGCAGCTGTTCCTTATTTGATTTAAGTTTTAATCATTATTTATATATTTTATAAAGTCAAATAGCACAAGAAACATTCTTATGTAAACTTAAGGCACTTTACCACCCTGACAAACGCAGGGCAAGTAAAAATAAAGAAATAAAAACATGTTATTTTGCACACAAAAATGGTTGGTAGCATTTTGTTTTCAACAGTGACAGAGAGAAGGACCCTGAACAGAATGCTCTCCATCATGGACAACACCCACCACCCTCTGCACAGCACCTTCAGCAGGCAGAGGAGTGTGCTCAGTGGCAGACTGCTGTCACAATCCTGTTCCACAGACACACTCAAGAACTCTTTTGTCCCCCTGTCCATACGTCTGTACAACACCTCAAGGTTATGGACAGGGGAAAGCACACACTTGGACTAAATCTTCCTTTTTCCATTTCCCATCTGCACAGCTGTCCCAAGAGTCAGCCTCTAGTTGGACACTTTAATGATCACCTCAATTACTTAAATAGCACCTTTAATTTAATGTTTGCACTGCCTGTTATTTAATGTCTGTTTTTGATAACTCTGCACAATCTGCTTTTAAAACATTGCTGTACATATATGAACAACACAACTTCAGAAGGTCAACACTTTTTTATTTTTTTATATGCAGGTCTAATTACAGATTTTTCCTCAACTTGTTTATCGGTTCTTGTTTTAAATTACACATATATTTTTATCCCTGCACGGGTTATGTACATTTATTGTATAAGTCTATTTTTAATTACACAGTTTAAGTTTGATTCATCTAGGGGTATTCTTTAAATCTTTTTTTTCGGGTCAATATATATATATGGGAGGGGGTGCGTTGGTTTTTCCGGTTTAATTTGTAACAAATGTTTCATGTCATGTACGTCTTTGTAACCTGCTACTGGATGCTTTGAATTTCCCTCGGGATCAAGAAAGTATCTGTCTATCTATTTATCTATCTAGGAGAGGTCAGAAAGCTCCAGCAGTACTTTCAGTATGAAGATCAACTTTATTAACATATTAACTAATTATTAGCGTTCAGGCTCGTGGCCTTCGAACATGTCAACCTAATTAATCTAAAGTTGATCTTCACACTACTAAGTGTGGCTGGAGCTTTCTGACCTCTTCTTAATGAAGTCTTTCACTCTTCATGCACCTTGGTAGCTGGTGAAGTTGTGCCAGATAATCCCTCTCTGTTTGACCCTTTCCACTAGTCATATTTTGTTATAATATTATTATATAGTTATATATAAATTATATTTTGGTTCATTACATGTTTTTACTGTATGGATTATGATGTCTCCGGTCTCACACTGAACAAATACAACCATTGTGTTCATAAAAAAAACCATTTAGGCTTCATACATGTTCATTCAGTGTTTATAAGTATATGTGTGGAACTTGTGGATAAGTTTATCATTGTACTTTATTATTGGATATCTCAATTATTTAAATATTCAAATATTTATACTTCATACAGATCAATCTTTAAGACATAATTCTGTTTGGAACTTGAAGCATGCCATCAATTTAATGAACAAAAAGTGATTTCTAAGGAAAGACTTGCAACATTTATTCAATAGCCAGAGTTGTAATTTCACATATTAACAACAGTTGTTGTTTTTTTTATCAACTAGACTTTAAAATTCTGAACTGTAACTCAAAATATCTCAAATGTAATTTCAGATATTAACAATATGTGCTCAGCATGCAGAAGATTAGTGCAGGCCATATTTACAGTCTAATGTTACAGTTTAATGACTCCACTATTTGAAATATGTGCGGGTGTGAAAACAAATATTCCCACACTTTCTCTCATACATTTAATGAAGAACTCATTTCTCTCAGAACAGTTTAGAAAAAGTGTGAATCTGCATTTGTTTCTTTGGAGGAGGAAAGTAAAACAAAATAAGAGTCTTCATTGTGACTGCAGAGGCTCAGACAGAAAACAAGTGATCACTTTTGAACACTGACAAGTGGAAGCATCTACAATAACATAATTGTCTGCATGATATTAGATTTAACATTTTGCCTCTATACAATTACTTATTGCTTATTTTATTCTTAAGTAGCGTAAATTTACTAACAGTTTATTTATTTACTGGTGTGATTTTGTTAAATGCTGTTTACTCTGTAACATTTTAACCCAGGAAGTTTTATTATTATTACCATAACAGACTTTGTTGGCCAATGATTTCTGTGGTATTTTATTAATTACACAGTATATTATACATATATACGGATATTACTTCTACTACCATGATAAAATCATGAATACATTTATCATTTACCCATCAATATAATTTTCAGCTTTTGTTTCCTTTTAATGAAAGACATTTATTTGTGAAAGTTGAACATATCTTGACCCGGAAGTCGCTCCTCTTCATTCTCGCGATATCTCCAAATCGTTGACTTCAACCATAGTACTGTTTGATAAACTAGGCAAGTGACTCCACGACTATGAAAGATATATCATGTTAACTTCAGTCATTGTTTGCAATGCCTGTGAGGCTTCACCCTCACCTGTCTGTCCGGTTTAACATGGTGGACGCAGATGAAATCGCGAAGTTGTGCTACGAGCGCTTCAAGCAGCTTCCCCGCAGAGGGAAGCCTGAGCCGGGCAGAGAGTGGACCCTGCTGGCCGCTGCGCTCAAACTCAGCAGGTGTGTTCACTCTGACAAAGGTGAGACATGTATATCTGTTTGTCAGACCAAAACAATACTGCACACAACACTGATGATAACTTTAAGATATCTTTAAGACATTGTTCAAGTTGTTGTGTAGGGAAAGTTTAGATTTAGATGATGCTGCTGCACATGAAAAGTTAGATTTTAATATTCTGTCCCATAAATGTGCTAATTATGCCCAAAGACACTGCATGAAAATAATCATAAATCACTTTAAACAGAATGATGGTAGTAGAATGTGTATGTAGAAAACAAACCATGTTATAAATGATATTATAATGGTGTGTTTTTCTGTCTTTCACAGTTGATAAGGAGGTCGTCTCCCTCGGAACCGGAACTAAATGTATTGGACAGACGGCTATGAGTCCCAGCGGTGTGTGTCTGTGTGTCTGTGTGTCTGTGTGTCTGTGTGTCTGTCTGTGTCTGTGTGTCTGTGTGTCTGTGTGTCTGTGTGTGTGTCTGTCTGTCTGTCTGTGTGTCTGTCTGTCTGTCTGTGTGTCTGTGTGTGTGTCTGTGTGTCTGTCGGTCTGTGTGTGTGTGTGTGTCTGTCTGTCTGTCTGTGTGTCTGTGTGTCTGTATGTGTGTCTGTCTGTGTGTCTGTGTGTGTGTCTGTCTGTGTGTCTGTCTGTGTGTCTGTCTGTGTGTCTGTCTGTGTGTCTGTCTGTGTGTCTGTGTGTGTGTCTGTCTGTGTGTCTGTCTGTGTGTCTGTCTGTGTGTCTGTCTGTGTGTGTGTGTGTCTGTCTGTGTGTCTGTGTGTCTGTGTGTCTGTGTGTCTGTCTGTGTGTCTGTCTGTGTGTCTGTCTGTGTGTCTGTCTGTGTGTCTGTGTGTCTGTCTGTGTGTCTGTCTGTGTGTCTGTCTGTGTGTCTGTGTGTCTGTCTGTGTGTCTGTGTGTCTGTCTGTGTGTCTGTCTGTGTGTCTGTCTGTGTGTCTGTCTGTGTGTCTGTGTGTCTGTGTGTCTGTCTGTGTGTCTGTCTGTGTGTCTGTCTGTGTGTCTGTCTGTGTGTCTGTGTGTGTGTCTGTCTGTGTGTCTGTGTGTCTGTGTGTCTGTGTGTCTGTCTGTGTGTCTGTCTGTGTGTCTGTCTGTGTGTCTGTCTGTGTGTCTGTCTGTGTGTCTGTCTGTGTGTCTGTGTGTGTGTCTGTCTGTGTGTCTGTCTGTGTGTCTGTGTGTCTGTCTGTGTGTCTGTGTGTCTGTCTGTGTGTCTGTCTGTGTGTCTGTCTGTGTGTCTGTCTGTGTGTCTGTCTGTGTGTCTGTGTGTCTGTGTGTCTGTCTGTGTGTCTGTCTGTGTGTCTGTGTGTGTGTCTGTCTGTGTGTCTGTGTGTCTGTGTGTCTGTGTGTCT